AGTCAGAGAAATTAGAACCACAATATAATACATTAAATATGACAAATGTTAAGTATTATTGTGGATATGAAGTTAATTGCTAGTGGGGTTACGAATCATTGCGGATACAGCCACTATAGGAAACATCGTAGCACTAACTAGAAAAGTTACGTATGTGCATACCCTATATTTCTTCTCTTATTATATATCCCAGAGAAATTCTTGCATAATTGTATTAATACATTTGTATAAGAATGCCTATAGCACCATTGTTCCTAATAGCAAAAACATAAAAACAAATGTCCATCAACAGTAGAATAGATAAATTTTGGCATATTCATACGTAGTGAAAGTGAGTGGACTATGGTTATATATAACAACATAAATAAATCTTGGAAAAATAGTGTTGTGCAAAAGAAACAAGTCTTAAAGTAGTGTCAGTCCATTTATATACACTTAAAAAGTAGGCAAACTGTTTAGATTTTTTTGTGTTACATTTATAAGTGGCAAAACTATACAGAAAAGCCACAGTATGATTATCTCAAATATCAAGATAGTGGTTACTGCTGGTGGAGGGAAAAACGAGAGAGGGTGGGAGATTCACTTAAGGAGGGGGACATATGGGGTTTCAAAGGGATTGTTTCTTAACCTGGCTGGTGGTGGATACACAGGTATTTCCTTTATTTTTTAAAATGTACAAGTATATTTAATATAATTCACACTAGAGTAAATGGAGAATCAGAGTCAAAGGGCAATGAGTTAGTGAGGATGGAGTATAGGAATTTTCTCAAACCAGAGAAGTAGGATGGTATTTGGAGGGCCATGTCCTCCATTGTCCTGAGACAATCTTCCTGAGGGAAAGATATTTCCAGCCCTAATTTGTCTCTAAGCTGTAGTTCTATATCTGTAGTTGTCTTATTAACACTCATTGCATGATCCCTATTAACAGCTGAGACCTAGGATGAAGTATTTCATTGTTCTTCCACTAGTGCCATCATTTTCCCAGTCATCCAGGCTCAGAACTTTCCTATTATACCTATTTGTTATCACTAAATCATAATGATTTTTTCCTTTGAAAAATTTCATATATATCTTTCCCTCTTTTTATTACTTAACACCTTTGTTAACAGGTGCTTATTGACTTTTGAAAAAATGAAATTGTAGATTTTTATTAAATTTAAAATGAAGTATTTGAGTATCTCAATTGAACTATATATAAATTTAAAAAAACCTTTAAAGCCATGTTGGGAAAAGTAAGGCTTAAAAATTTTTTTTTAGAGGCATCTTTTGAGAAGAATGATTAAAACCCCATGCTGCAGGCGGGCCCCATGGCTCAGCGGTTAAGTGCGCGCGCTCCGCTACTGGCGACCTGGGTTGGAATCCCGGGCACGCCCCAACGCACCACTTCTCCAGCCATGCTGAGGCCGCGTCCCACGTGCAGCAACTAGAAACATGTTCAGCTACGACATACAACTATCTACTGGGGCTTTGGGGGAAAATAAATAAATAAATAAAATTATTAAAACCCCATGCTGCTTAGGTACTGCAGATATTTCTAGTTATCTGGTCCACCTACAAAAAGCAACACTTAAGACATCACTTGTTCAACTCCGTCTTTCTATTCATTTCTTATTACTGGAATTTCATATTCATTTCTTCCTGTTGGATAAGTAAACTGGACCGTGCTAGAGATAAGCCAACATTATCTCAGTCTTGCCCTACTAAACCCCTAGAGCTTAGTCTTAACTGGTGGTCAGCTGTTTTGACTCTGCTAATTTAAGAGGCTCTGTGGCTTAAGGCTTTCTGGAGGTCTGCATTGGTAATTGAAGTTGTGGAGATACAGTGTAGAGCAGACTGCTGATACTGGGTGTTAGCTCCTTGATTTTCTTTGTCCTTGCTGTATCTCTAGGCTGTCTTTGGAGGTTAAGGTCAGTGTGAAATCGTGATCTATAAATTCCTACTACAGATTTTGTCCTACTGGTCTGCACCTTTTGTTGCACACCTAGTTATCAGTAGACTAAATCATTCCTCCCTCCTCTCATCCTCCTGTCCCAACATTTGCTTCCTGGAGGACCCACCTGACACATACCACTTCTACTGGTTATTCACCTAATTTCTTTCCAAATCAAATTGCAGTGAGGATTATCTCATTTCCCTTTTTTAAGCCTCTCCCTTGAATCTTCCCAGTATTTTCTGGCTCGTCATTTCCCTCCATCCCCCAACACCTGCTTCCCCTCTAACGTCCACTTACCTCAGTAAATGGCACCACTATTTACTCAGTTGCTTTTATATTGTCTTTCACATTTAAGTCCTTGAACCATCTAGAACTTTTTTTGGGGAAGGGGGAGAATTGTATGAGATAAAGATCAGTCAGTAAAATGGAAAATTACCATAGTCAGAGGTAATGAGGGGTCAGATCATGTAGGGCCTTGTTATAGCTCGTTAAAAGGCCATTGGAAGGACTTGGGCTTTTACTCTGTGTGAGATGGGGAGCCACTGGAAGGTTTTGAGCAAAGGAGTAAGATAATCTGACTTAGGAATGTTTAGGCTGTTCTATGGAGAGTAGACAGAAGGGCAGATGGGGTAAAAGCAGGCAGACTAGTTGGAAGAGAATTGCAGAAATCCAAGATCAAGGCATTGGTGGCTTGCACCAAAGTGACTGCAGTGTAATGGGTAAGAAATGACTCGTTATCTGGGGGTAAGACTCAGGCATCATCATTTTATTTTGTAAAAGCTCCCTAGGAGTTTCTGGTGCATGATGAGAGTTGTGCTTTGCTACAGTTTATAAATTTTTACAGGGGTGTTTGGAATTTAAGCCACATAGGCTTCTTCATCAGCTTAATTTAAGGGAGTAGAGAAGTATAGTGATAATCACAAGTGTTTTTGCGTCTGACCAAGGTTCAAATCCATGCTACTTATTAGCTGTGTAATATTGAGCTTCAGTTTCCTCATTTTAAAAATGGAGATATATACTTCATAGGTATATTTGTTGTGTGAAATGAACCAATATAGATTAAATGAGCCAGTCTTTGACATATACATGCTTAGAAATTATTAGCTTAAAAAAAGAACTGGCCTATAAGATTGGTAAAAATTTTTAAATTAATAATGCTCGGTGTTGATGAGAGTGTGGAGGAATAGGTTTCATTGTTGGTGGGAATGTAAATAGAGGACAATTTTGGATTATCTATCAAGAAGTTCAGTTTCCTGTATGATCTCACTCATATGTGGAATATAAACCAACACATGGACAGAGAAAACTGGACTGAGGTTACCAGGGCAGTGGGGGTGGGGGGTGGGCACAAGGGGTGAAGGGAGTCATATATGTGGTGATGGACAAACAAAAATGTACAACCCAAAATTTCACAATGTTAGAAACCATTAAAACATCAATAAAAAAAAAAAAAAGTTCAGTTTCCTTGACCCATTAATTCTGCTTCTAGAAATTTTATTTATGAAAACATTCACATTTAGATACAGATAGATACTCAGTGCAACATCTTTTAATGGCAAACAGTTGGAAACAATTTAAATTACTCTTAGTAAAGGAATAAATTGTGATACATTCCTTTTATAAAATGCTATGTGATTGTTAAAATTAATACGTTGGTCTATAATGCTGTCATGGAAAGATTGCTGGTATATATTTTAGTTTTAAAAAAGCACCAGTATGTCACTTGAGAGTACTTATATCTTCAATATTTGAATTTTTAACAAGATTATATTCATTTATTACTTCTTCAGATTTTTATATGAGCCCATATAGAAAAGATAGTGATTGACAGTAATTTCATGCGTAAACAGTAATACTTATAAAGTAATTATCTGTATTTTCTTTAAATATATCATATGCCGTGTTATTATAATAACATTGTTTTATGTATCTGGGGCTTTTTTTTAGATATTTAAAGAGCTATAAGTTATTCTAGGGTAAATTATAGATGCCCTAAGGATTTCATTTAAGAAATACATAGGAAAATTCCACATGTTTGTCATTTTATTAGGTAATATTGAAGGTGCAGATACATGACAAATAGTTTCTATCCTCATTTGACTAATAATCAAATGGGTGGGTAAGATGAAAACAGATAAAATAAGTTGAAATATGTATATAAATATACACACATACATACATACACACATACAAACACACGCATACATATATAAAACTTATTGATCTACTTCTAGGAATTTGTCCCAAAGAAATAATCTGACAAGTACATAATGACAAATGTGCAATAGTATTCATTGCAATGTTTTATAATAGTGAAAAATTTCATATAACTTAAGTCACCATCAATAGGTATTAAATAAATTGTGATAAACATAATGGAATATTACATAATAATTAAAAATAATTATTTAGATCTATAGCTCTTAACAGGTAAGATTCACAATATTAAGAGAGGGACAAGTTTAATACATTACGTAGTATAATATCCTCTCTCTACAGATGGTAAGTACTGGGTTCATCAGATGAAGCAAAGAGTAGAATGGATTTAGATAAGCGACATACAGAAAGGTAACATTTTAGATTAGCATTTCTCAACGTTTTTGGACTCAGATTCCGTTTCTCAATTTTAAAATAATATTATCAATTTGTATAGTATATGTTAGTGATTTTTAAGTAAAAAGTATTTTATATCATATAGTATTAAGAATTGCTTTTATAAATATTTGTTCTGTGTTCTACAAAGTCATTGTTGGCTCATAGTAAGGAAACTTTCTAGTAATTAGAACTGTTTAACAGTATAAAATTTCAGACATTCCATGCCAGTGTGTAACCATGTATTGTGTGGGCTAAAAATAAACTTTCAGTCTCATTCAGTTTCTTGAGTTCATGGTCTTGACAAGGAGCAAATTGATTTATGATTCAGTGAACAAAGTTCATCCCCTGATCCTGAGAGTCTGGAAATTCCTTGGAAAAAAAGTAATATCATAGTCTTTTAAAAGTTTGTAAATTATAAAATTGTGTATGACAGTGTTTAGGAATACTATAATTTTAAAAATGTATGTTTTATTCCCATTTAGGCCGAATACATCAAGCAATGGTAACATCTTTAAATGAAGATAATGAAAGTGTAACTGTTGAATGGATAGAAAATGGAGATACAAAAGGCAAAGAGGTATAATCACTGGGTTAAATTTTATTTCTAGTCCTACCATCAAGATTCCAAATATAAGACAAAACAAAAGTATATAATTTTTATATAGAGCATGTATTCTTTTTTTTTTTTTTTTTTAATAATTTTATTTAT